GTGTGTCGGCTGGATGTTGCTCAAATTTAATGCGTCTCGTCTCTAGATAAAGGTGGTTAAGGGGTGAGCGATAAGAACTACCTTAAAGGGAGAATTTCCAACAACCCCAATAAATTACACAACATGGTAAATATCCAATTACTTAAATCTTAAAGCAAGTTTTTTTATATATATATAAGTGTGTATGTGTTTGTAGAAAAGTTTCCAGTATCCTCTTTTTTGGAAATTAAACTGTTTTTTTTTTTTTATTTAAAAGTGCTATAAACTTTTGCACACACCTTGACATTCCACACTACAAACAAAGAAAAAAGCCCCTCTCAATACTTGAAAGAGCAATAACAGTTACTGGACTTGAGAAACTAGTTTTCCTGAAAAATTGTTTTAATAGAAAGGTTCTGTAAATTTAAACTTGTGGTAGCACTAGTTGAATGAATGCTGAATGTTTCCTTATCAGGAAACAAATATTATCATTAAAATGTTGGTTTATAAAATTAGTTATACACTATGTGCCAAATTATTATCAAGATAACTTTTTTCTAATATTTCAAAAACTGTCCAATCAATTCACACAAAATTTTCACACAATGTTGGCAACACTGATCTGCGTAATTACTGAAATTTTCGTACTGATCTGCACATTGTAAACAAACTGGCACCATATTTGTTATCAGCGCGGTGATTTGAGCGTGCCAAATTATTAGAGAGGTTTAGTAAAATTCCCAGAATTGCGCAAACAAAATGTTTATTAATGTTGAACGTGAATGTTTATGATCAAAAGAAGCTAATAAATAAGATAATCAAACAAATAATAACAGATACAAACAAAGGCACAGTTTTAAGCAAATTAATAGGGAATGTGCTTTCCCTGTTTTGAAATTACTTGAAAAAGTGGATGATCCATAGAATTTGTTAATTATAGGATGTCATCTGCTGTAATGCCGCGAGATATGTCAAGAATTGCTTCCCATAACTCAGCGTTGGTCCTGAATTGTCGTCCATTGGCATACAGTCTTCGCTTCATGATGCTCCAATGGTTTTTGATTGGGTTCAAATCTGGAGAATTTGCTGGCCACTTCATTTTTTGAGGTCCATCGAAGCCTAACTGTTTCAAATATTCAGTAGTCTTGTGAGCAGCTTGTGAGGGAGCATTATCTTGCATAAAAAAACAATGGCCCTTCTGAAGGCAACTCTTTGCCTTTTCATCCATGGTTCAAGATGCTCCTTCATAAACGCTATGTATGCATCAGCAGTCATTTTGACACCATCTGGTACTCTCCATGGGCCCACTAATGTTTTTCCAATAATACCATCCCAGATCATTATGCCTCCACTGCCTTGTTGGCGTCTCAAACACTGATAGCGATTTTGTCCATTCATTACCCAGCCTTTGCACCATCTATCTGGCCCATCAAGTGTTGCTTGAGTTTTGTCTGTGAACAAAACTTTAGAGAAGTCAATCTTCATATTGTCCTCGGCCCATTTCAGTGGATTTTGAATGTGATTTCTCGTCAATGGAGGCTTCGATACAGGTTTGATTGTTGTTGCTATTTCCCTCAGATACCGACACCGAGTACTTTTAGACACAGTAGGATCCCCAATACGACTGAAAAGCGCTTGACTGGTAAGTCCAGGATTCTTCGTGGCCTCTCATTTAAGTCATGACATGAGACGACGTGAAATAACCCTCGGCTTGCCTTTATCTGCCCTTTTGCGTACTTGTGTAGGGTCGGCGGTGAATTTTTCACTGTTTGATGACACTTCCCTATCATTTTAAAAATTTCTAGGGTAGATTTACTTATTGAGAGTGCTGAGGTAATAGTTTTCTTTTCAGCATTCCTTAAACTGCTTTTACGGCCCATCTTTTCACTAAATTCTTATACTTTTCTAATAATTTGGCACGCTCAAATCACTGTGCTGATAACAAATATGGTGCCAGTTTGTTTACATTGTGCAAATCAGTACAAAAATTTCAGCGATTGCACAGTTCAGAGTTGCCAACAATGTGAGAAAATTTTGTGTGAATTGATTGGATGGTTTTTGAAATATTAGAAAAAAAGTTATCTCGATAATAATTTGGCACGCAGTGTATAGTAATTGTAAGTTTTATCGCTTGGACTAATAGTACAGACATTTTTTGTCTGGCCTCTGCATTTTGTAACAATAGTGAGAATCAACTAAAGGTGGAAGAAAAGTATAGTTTTTGCCACAGGACAATACCCTAGCAGATTAAAGTGCTGGCTCATTAATTTGGTGTTATAGAAATTGTAAGTTCAATCTCTGGACCGAGTAGTACAGACTTAGACTCAGTGGAAAGCAGGTGAGCAGTAACTGAGCAGTACTAAATAAGAACAAGATGAGATATCCACAGACATGGACAATGGAATGAGAACATTCTGTCACTGTAGATTAAATAAAGTGTTCAGTTCAAAATTTCCTGACAGTTATTCTGATTGACAGACATCTGAAGAAGGCTGGAAGGCACAATGGTTGAAACATTTTCAGGTTGAGTATCCTTTATCTGAAATTCACAAATTCAAAAATGTCCAAAATCCAAAAGTTTTTCAGGTGCTGACATGACTTGTCACAAATGGAAATTTTCAGGAAGCACTGGAAAGGTTCTTCGATGATGTGCAGCTGTTGTAAGTAACCTCATCTGCCCTAGGTGGGGTTCCCCACCCCAGCTATGTAGCCACCCAACACCTTGTTCATGGATTACTTAACCAGGTGTTTCGCCTTCAGTAAAGATATTCTAAATGTCAAAAAGTCCTGCATTTATATATTTTTTGTAAGTAGTGATCAAGTTTTTTGTACACATACAGAAAGTACAAAACATTATTATCTTAATTTCACCACTTAAAAATCCATGTGAGCATTACATGATAGTGTCATTACCTGTATATGTATGTACACAAACATTTATTAAATTTTATATAAGACTAGCTTCAGGGTATATGTATAAACTGTATTATGAAATGTAAAGGGATGTCGTGTTTATGCTTGGGTTCCATTCCCAAGATGTCCCATTTTATAGATGCTATATACAAATTTAAAAAAATCCCCAAATCAAAAAAAATCTGAAAACCAAAGCACTTTTGATCCAAAGAATTTTGGATGAAGGATTTTCAACATGTAATTAAAATTGAAAAATCTGAAGAAGGTTAGAAGATACAATGGCTGAAACATAAATAGTTGCAACAAAAATCAGGATATTAGTCAGTCTGTAAATACTGCTTAACCAACTGTAAAAAGAACAGACCTCAAAACTCAATGATAATGAATACCGTTGTAAGAACGTATACAGAATTCTGTAAAGCAAAATCAATTCCTGTCTAAAAATAAAATTTAAAGAACACTGTCATACTTGGAGAGACAATAAACTAAGGAATTGCCAATCATGTGTGCAAGAAGGGACCTGTTGCACTACTGCTCCTAGTTTGATTAAAAGCAGTGGCAAACAAAATTTACACATGCAAACAACGTGTTGTCTTTAGTAGAGATGAAAGGGAATGGAATAAATTTGAACAAGGTGATATTTTCATGTCTTTTTATATAAAAATTGATCGGTTAACAAAGGAGAGAAAATACATTATTATGTATGTAAATATAGCTGAAAAGAATGAAGACATTAAAAGTTAGCAATTAGGAATGATGTATGTATGTGTGTGTGTTCTGTCACTCAGGAGGAGAAGTCCTGTGTTAGTGTTGTCACTACAGCATACTGGGAGGAAAGAAAAGAAACGGGAAGTATCCCGTATTTAAAATTGTTTAACAGCACCACCTAACAACACCTTGGGAAACCCGGCAAAGCCAGGTGGGGGTAAACTCAGAAGCCTCAACTTTGTGAGAAAAAGTCAAAATAATTAACAGCAGCAGCACTAGAGAATGTTTGCAGGAAGTATTACACATACTATACTGATGTTGTGTGATCAGCAGGCCAATCATAGATATCAGTAATATGTAAGAACTGCTGAAAATAAATGCTAGATTTGAGATTGCAAAAATATACAGACACCATATATGATAAGTTTGCAGAGAAAAGTGCATACTCCAAGGGAACAGGGTTTAACTTTTAAAACATAAAGCTAAGGAAGGTCTGTATATGCAGGGCTCAAAATGTTTTAACAAAGTAATGAAAGACAATAAATCCAAACCAGGCAATACAATCAAGGGAGGTAACTCTAATGTATGGTCTGTAGGGATATGGATATTCTTTCTTTCCTTATTGCTCTACATAACAGAGCCACACTTAATTTAAATTCCATTGTATATTTACCAATAATTTTTTCAAGTTAGAATATAATAAGTATAATAAATACATAATCAATAATGTTCTTTTTATAGATACAAATATTTAAGGAAACGCTCTGTTTATAATAAACAGTATTAACAACATTTACCAGCCTGAATGTCCGAGAAATTTTCATAGAAAATATGCGTCCTCCGGTAAATGTTGTTAATACTGTTTATTATAAACAGAGGCATTTACTTAAATATTTGTATCTATAAAAAGAACATATAAACATAAAAAATGTCTTAAATAATTGTTGGACTTTGTCCATTTCATGATGTATGATGTCATTTGTTTACATTTAGATACGCATTGAGCAGATATGAATGAATGAGAGAGAATCGTGGAGAATTGTGTTTAAAAACAGTAAAATCGTCCTTGCTAACTGAACACTCCTCTGTGGCCCAATTGGTCAAGGCACATCAGGCTATATGACAGTTCTGTATAGGATACAGGTTCGATTCCTGTTGGAGGACAAATATTTTCTATGAAAATTTCTCGGACATTCAAGCCGTTAAATGTTGTTAATACTGTTTATTATAAACATAGCATTTACTTAAATATTTGTATCTATAAAAAGAACGTATAAACATAAAAAATGTCTTAAATAATCAATAATGTTATGAGTAAATTAGCAAATGTTAATTAAATCTTTATAATTATTAAATATTAATTGTAAATCTATTGTGTGATGGTTTATTAGCCATATTTCATTGAAATACCAGTTCCCATATAATCACCAAAGTTAAGCAATATTGAGCCTGGTCAGTATTTAGATGGGTGCCTACTTAGGAATACCATGTGCTTGGATGTGCGGGTGGTGTAATTGATAATGGCTCAGAATTGTTAATTAGAGTGCTGAGTTCAAATTCCCATTGGGTTCGTTATGTTCACTTACACATATTGTAGCCTTGGTAAAGATTTGAATCCACCTCTTCTCTGCGCTACTCCAGCTATGGGTTAATTAATAAGACTTATTTCACTAAACTATTATTATCTAGAAAAAAATTCTTACAATCTAAAATATTTTCTGGCTTTAAATAAGCTGTAAAAGGTTGCTAAACCATAAAAACAATTCAACCAACCAATCTAATGTGTGATGCCATAGTCTCTTCAACTGACCAATGTGTGATAATGCTTTTTGAATTGTTTTTCTTTTTCTGATTTGCTAAGTCAATTGCATGTTGATTACATTACAACCTTACCAGTTTCCCTCTTTAGTTGGACTGAATATTTGATGCAAGCAACTATCGTATTTATTTACTATTTTCAAAAGGGCCACACCATCAATGGCAAGTACTATGTCATCTGCTGAGGCAGTTCTGAAAGACTATCAAATAATTTTAATATAGAAATAATTTGATAATTTATTGGCTTATGGCTATAACATGTTGAAACACCACTTCTCATATGATCACCAAAGTTAAACAACATTAAGCCTAGTCAGTACCTAGATTGGGAATTCCAGTATAAATCTAACTCTTCTCCCCAAGCTATGGGTTAATTAGTAAGATTTGTATCATTAAATCACTCTTATCTCAAAAAAAAATCTTACAATCAAAAAATATTTTCTGGCTTTAAATAACCTCCTGCAAAGGGTTGATACACTATAGAAAATGAATCAATCAAATAATTGATAAGTTACAAATGATAGAAATGCAGTGAAAATTACAAAAGAAAGGATCATTAGCCTGGAACAAAATAAAAATGTTACTGACAGAACAGGAATATTGTTGTATTTGATGGCATATAAGACTTTACTCCAAAGAACACCTCAAAAAATGTCTCCCAAGTTTATATACTAAATTGAAGCAATTAATACCCAGAAAGATTCCATGGTTTACTAGTACTGTGATACTATGGACACCCACATAAAAGAGGAAGAGGTAGTTTGAACTCAAATCTCAAGTGTTTTGGTTTTATAGACCAGTCCTTTTGATGTTTGGTCTTTTAAGCAGCATCCAATTTAACCAAAGGGTATTGGGATGTAAAATGGTAGATGAGGGCTTCTTCCAGATCAAGTGACAACAAAATGGAAATAGGTTACATCTGGGTGCTGGTCTATATTAACATGATTGTGATTGGGAGAGTACTGGTTCACACAGACGTGTCTGTGTTGCGGCTCCAAAGCCTCAATTTTGTATCTGCCATCCACCACACCATGAGGTATAGATGGGTAAGGATTTGGTAGAGGGAAGTGCTGTCTTAGCAGAATGTGTCCCAAGTAACACCTGCATACCCACGTTCTCAGCGTAACATTTCTTTCATTGAGCACACCATGTGCTCTTCCCCAGCATTCGGTGAATTCCAGACGTGATCGACAATTAAAATGCAGCACGAAGTGACCATTAGTCGGTCAGTGGAAAGCTTGGACAAGGGTCACACTCTATGTTTTCAGTACTTATACCGAGCTTAAATCCTGTAATATTAATCTTAATCTTAAATCTTGTAATATTAAATAGTAGCAAGGATCTTATATACCATCAAATACAGTTTATGAATTACATTCATTAATAGGTTTGAGGATATTTTTCAGTGTACACACGTTGTTATCGAATGTGACCCAAGGTCAAGGTGTAAAGTGGGTTTAATGGCAATACTGCAAAAAAATTGTCCAAGCCCTTTGGCACTTCCCCTTCTGGAGATTCCATAGGTGCTGGGCAATAAACCCAGCTCTCTCCTGAAGAAGAGATACTGCCTGAGGGGAAGGCCCCTGGGGTTTGGACTTAATATTTTTGATACTTCCCCGGCATGTGCCAGATAAAACTGATGAAAGAGAAAATCAGGTCTTAACTCAGTTCTCTGTGCTATCTGTTGAAAAAGAAAATCAGAATCAAGATTGGATCAACTTTAGTAAGCCTCAGAATATGGTAATTGTTTGTGTTCCCTTACCAGTCTCAATCAATCACAAGCTTTCTTACTCCAAATAAAAGAACGCTACTTTGGACCACAGGATGAGTTGGCTCTTCATACATGAACAGGTATTTGTGCATCACATACTCTGATATAAATTTTTAACTCTTTTGATTTGCACTGCTGGTATTTTCTGATATTGGACTTGCGAGATAGATTTTTGATCCTCGGAATTACAACCATGGACTTATTTTTTTGATCTGATCCTTCCTATTGCTATTCAACTCAGTCATTCGTTAAGACAGCATTTATTTCTAAGTTAGTGAACTCTCAGTGTTAAACATCAATTTTTTATTTTTTTTTATTATTGTTCACCTAATACAAGGCCCAAGAGCCACTCAAGGTAGGGTTACTAAATGAGGTTGTTGTAAAGGTGTACAAGGAGGGAGAAAGAGGTGCATATTATAAAGATATATATTATTGATAACAGTTGACCCTAGACCTAAAAAGGTTAAGAGTGTAGTGATCAAGGAAGCATCCCATTGGAAGTTTGTTCCACAATGCAACAGTTCTGTATAAGAAGCTGTCTGAGTGGAACTTATTCCTACCAATGGAACACAAAGGAAATGTGCATTATTTGATCCTCTACATGTGGCATGGCAGATTTTTTGCTATAAAAGTATGAACTTGTGGAACTAATGAATATTGCTTGCCAGAATATTTGCCATGGGAATAGCAACAGAGTAGTAAGAGATTAGCAATGTTTCATCTGTGGAAAAAGGTTTGTTGGGTTGAAAATAATTCATCACCCAAAAGGCTGCATAAATGTTTAGAACTCTGTCAGTGCTGGAAAGTAAAGATTGAGCCACTCACTTGGCAGCAATACTCCATTTTTGGTTTGATCTAACTCTTGTAAAGATAGAGCATGACACGAGGTGTCATTCTGCCTATTTTCCCCCCACATCTTTAATGATGGAATGTCATATACATGCATTCTAATTGAAGTCTTTAGTTCCAATAGATGTTCAAAGTAAGGAACCTTATTAAGAGTACAGACATTCATCATGACTAGAGAAAATTCAGGGTCTGCTCGGTGATGATGCGATGTTACTAACTTGGTTTTGGAGGTATTGAATGTGACCAGTCAGTTGTTCTCACATGGAGCTGTTGGAACTAGATCAGAGAAGAGATCAGCTGCCAGGTTATCTAAATTGTTGGAGGTGCACCTATAAACTGTGGCACCATATGCATAGATATTGACTTATGATCTAAGTATTATTCTTAGATAGATCATTAATATAAAACAAGAATAGGGTAGAACTGAGAAGAGAGCCTTGGAACATAGACCCCATGAACTTCGGAAGACTGGCCGTTAATAATAACCCTCATGGATCTACCTGATAAGAAGGACTTGATAACTGCAAGAACTGAATAGATCATTAAATGCAGTTAATGTGGAGCAGAAAAACACAATTTACATATATTTAGAGATAACAAATTAAAGACAAATTTATACAATTATTAAGAAACATATATCTCTAACTAGACACTAATTTTCGTCTAGCTAAGTCACACACTGACCACACTCCACTCAAAACTAATTTTAAAACAAACACAAATATACCAGAGAGCTGGCCTTTATCCATGTGACTCTTGCTTGCCACAGATGTCTACAACAATACCATGCATTTCCCTTGTATAGGCTATAAGAGAAGCAGGACAGGCAGACAGAGAGACTTCATGCACACAAGCTAACCATAGAGGCTACTCAAGATCATAGCTGACTGCCTGTCCAACCATTAGGCAGTGAAAATGACTTCATGTGAACACAGAAAGAGAATGGACATCCACTATCAACACGACAAGCCCAAACTGATAACCAACAAGGAGTCAGCTGGATTAATCATAATCCTTTTTCACACTCTCATTTTACACTCATACACCATATATTTGAACACTACACTATATGACTTACCAAAGATATTATCATATCTTGTAAATGAAAATAAATCTTTGGTCATTTCTACAAACCAATGTCTAATTTGCTTCTTTACTCCAACCAACTGTCCACCTTGGATCAAATGAATTACATATGTTTATGTCTGTTTGAATATGATTTGTCTGCTAGGTTAAATGTCATATTTGTGATCATTTTATAAAGTGCTATTGGTTCCAAAGTAATATTTTAATCAAAGCTTTCATGAGTTATCTCATGCATCCAGCTGTCTTTTATGTCACATGATAAATCATTGTCAAAATATTTGTATTAACCTTTTAATATCCATTGTTCCAATAGTGGGACAAATGGCATTAAAAGGTTAATACATGTTTTCAAACATGTTTTTAATACCAATCAAGCATTAATTCTTATTATTTGGTACTACTTAAGTAAAGTTGTCCACTTGTAAAAATAAATTTAAAAAAAAAAAAATAAAGGGAAATATTTTTTCAGGTAATAATTTCTCTACATTAGCATTCATTAGACCTTCTTCAAGGCATGACATTTGTCAGAATGAAAAAATATTGAAGCTTTTATCATTTTAGAAGTGGGGTCCTGTTCATAATATAGATACAGTGTAAAATCGATCCCTGACTTTTTACAGTTATCTGGAGTTCGTTATTCTGCATACAAAAACATTTTCCTTTAAATAATGAACAAACAGATACACTTTTAATTAAAGAACAAAAATTTACATAAATTAATAAAAGTATATATCCATTTATAATTTATTGAAGATAAATAATTATTATCCCCCTATTTTTTGTGCATTTGCTTCCAAACAATTTTAAAAAATGCAGTTATTAATACACAGTTTCAAACTTGACATTTGTAAATAACTGCTTTGTCCAATAACTCTGTAAAAATCAGGAATCAATTTTACACTTTATTGATATTATATATAAGATCCCCTCTTCTAAATCAATAATAAATAAATATTTTTTGATTCTGACAAATTTTGCACCTTGTCGAAGGCATAATGAATGTTAATCTACAAAAGTAATTGCCTCCCCCCACCAAAATTTTCAATATTTTTTATGAGTGGGCCAGTTTGCTTAAGTAGTGCTGATTATTTTATCAATAATACACATGGAAAAGACTAAAATACATGTGCTTAAACATCATGTCAAAATACAATTAATATTCATCTGGTATAAAAAAATAATGTCTTAAAATATGTTCAATAGTGAAACAATGGACAGTAAAAGGTTAAATGTCACATTCAAGGATGATAAAGTGATTTAATGTTTCCGCAGGTAATGTTTCATTTCACTGCATTTCAGGACACTGTGTGCTATATAATGGAAAATGAATCATGTTCTAAATTGCTTCTTCTGCATTATTTTTTTGTTTTTATTAGGAATGCCTGACCATATTTGGCACTAGTTCCTTAAGTGGGGTGCTGACAAGCCTGAAGATGTGTTATAAGGGTTATGGACATCATTTAATACTTATGTAAGTGAAAAAAATCCAATTCATTTTTTTCGTGTTTCTTGTTTTTTAATCAACATACTTGACTTTTTTCTATTTTTTTTTTTTTTTTTTTTTGCATGTTGGATAGTTTAAAAAGAATTAAAACTATGAAGTAGAAAAAAAGTCCTTGCTGTTTTTGATATATTAGGGGAAAAAAAAGGTATACAGCAAATTTGACATACCATTAGTTCTCAAAGTCATCCCATTCGTCATCCAGAATATTTTGCCAATGCTCCTCCAGCTGCACAATGCCTTGGCAGTAAAAATTAGGTGTCTTGGATATCAAGAAGTCTTTGAATGCCTGCTGCAAGTCTGCCTCATTTGCAAAGGATTTCCTATGAAGGTGGTTGTCCAGAGAATGGAAGAGGTGGTAATCTGTTGGCGCAAAGTCTGATGACTAAGGTGGATGACAGTGTCTCCCAGCCAAGTCATGGTATCTCTGGCTACCATGAGTCATGGAGGAACAGTACACCCTTGCAATTAACCAATGCTGGATCCTTCTGCTTCAGTACCTGTTACACACATTCCTGCAGCAAGTACAGGTCCACAGTGTTGATTTGGCCTATTACCAGCAGCTCATAGTGCACCTCATGCCAATTAGTCCACCAGATGTTGTGTGGGTGTGGAGGTGGTCTTCTGGTGACAGCCAATATTTGGCACACTTGGGAGTGTCATACAGGTCCCATTTTTCATCACTGGTGAATATGGGTATATTATGAAACAGGCTGTCACTCATTGTTGCTTGTTGGCTTCTGATAATGTGTGGGGTACCCACACGCACAACATGTATACCTTTTCTATGCAGTGCAGGTGAAATCGGAAACCTGAAAGTGTTCAGCAAGCTCACCAGAGGTTTGGCTGTTGTCCTTCTCTATGGTTGCTAAAAGGGTTTCATCATCCAGGACCTGTGGCCCACCACTGTGGGCTTTATCACAAAGGTACAGATCTCATAACTTGAACTTCTGGAACCAATGCCTGGCAGTGTGTACATTCACAGTTTTATCCCCAAAGGCTTAACATATTTGGCAACTTGATGCAGCTGCAGACAGAAAGTTTTAAAGTGATAAAGCAGACAACCCCAGATGAGCTGCTCCAACACCACCATGTTTCCTCACTGCTGCTTAAACTATGACTGATGTGCATGTGAAACACATCTACATTGGTCAAGAGCAGTACCTACACCCTCACCACTTTCCTAGCACGTGACGCACTCATTATTTGTATGTGATATATATATATGTATATATTTGGGCAACAACCTTTCTTTTAAGCATCTTTCATTAAATATGGCAGACAAGAAACATTTAATTCATTTTTTATTTAGTTTTTTCCAGCATCCTTACTTTTTTTCAGTTTTGTAGGAGTAAGAGAGTACAGAAATTCTCCATAATTTTCATTGTCCCAAGCGCTTTTGGCCACTTCTTTAGCCATTTTCAAGGGGGTTTTGGTTTTGTTTTTGTTGTCATTAGTTTTTCATCCTCTTTTCACTGTTTAAGTTGTATCTTATTTTTATGTTGTTTTAAATAGGAGCATTCATTTGAAGCATTCATGTGAACAATTTACTATTTTAAAAAAATTTTTAACATTCCATTTCCACTGCTAAATAAGGTGGGGTTGATAGTAGGAGGAAGATGCTTGATATACAGAACCTCTCTAATAGTGAAGTGTTTTTGGTTATGTGATTTATATAGAACATTAGTACAGATATATTTGTGATATATACATATATATATATATATATATATATATATAATAATGATGTTCACCCTGTAACACAGTACAGAGCGCTTTGAAGTAAATGGTTACAGAGTAAGAGACACAGTTTATGGGGATATTTGGGGAAGATAATGGTTAACCTTAGATATGAACAGGTGAAGATTGTAGTAATCAGGGAAGCATCCTCTTGGGAGTTCATTCCACAAGGCAATAGTTCATGAGAAGAAACTGCTTGATTGGAACTTACATTTCACCAATGGAGTACAAAGGAAATGAGGATGGTTCACTACAATGTGTGTAACATGGCATGTCTGAGCCATTAAGGTTAGAACTGGTGGAACTAAGGAATGTAATTTGTCTGAATACTTTCCATGGAAATAGTGATAGAGAAGTGAGTGCCTTGCAATGCTTTGTCTGTAAGAAAAATGTCATAGGACTGAAAATAATGTCACCCACAAGGATGCAGAGACACTTTTGGACTCTATCAAGACTGGAAATTGAAGACTATGCAGCTCCTTCCCATATATGGCAGCAATAATCCATTTTTGGCCTTATCTGGCTCTTGTATACGTATAGCAGGAGCAGTTAGATATTTACTGGACAGTTGATAAAAGTGTTAAATCCAGTGACAGGACCCAAAGAGTGTGAGTTCAATACCCAGTTAAGGCAGTGGAAAACTTGGAGAGGGGAATTAACAGGAGATAACTGACAACTGACATCCATTAAACATGGCACGTAGAACTAGAATAGTCTACCCCAGTGAGTGAAATAAAGGGTTCAGTTCGACATTCCAACCACCTGAAGAAGGCTGGAGCATACAATGGCCAAAACATTGTAATAAATATGGCGACAAAGATGAGGACAATAGTCCAAATAATGTAAATAGTGTACATAATACCTCATCTCAGAAATATATACAGTTACAGTTTACTGTTTTTCTTTCTCAGTCTCTCTCTCTCTCTCTCTCTATATATATATATATATATATATATATATATGAAGAAATATAGTCTTAAGATGTGCTATATTTATGGGATAAAGTGCTCAATATCAGAGATAGAGCGTGTGTAAATATACAAGTGAACATAGAAGTCAACACTTAGAGGCGACAGTCTGTTTCATGCTAGATGCAATCATCAGGCCACAAGTGCTGTTATTTTTCTCGGCTATTTATATATATATGGGTCAGTGGTGCATTGTGGGTAGTCTATTTTGGCGGTAATTTTACCGGAAGTCATTTATTTATTTATTTGGGATAAATTTTGTCTGTTTTTATTTATTTTTTATTTTTATTTCTTATCTTATTTATTTTTATTTTAATCGGTGTTTTTATTAACGTAGTAAAAATTTGTTTATATCGGAATCAGTTAGTTTATTTACTTATTTGGATGAATTTAGGTCAATTTATTTTACTTGTTATTATTTATTTGTTATTTCTCTTTTCGGTTTTCGATTTTTAAGTGACGTATTTTTTTTTATCATTATATGACAGTTATAGCTTTTTTTTCGGACGATTTTTGGTTTGATTTTTATAGTCTGACTAATATTTTAGTCATAATAGTTTTCTAATTTGTTTATTATTTACTTTATTTATTTGGGTTCATTGATTTTTTTTCTTATTTTTTATTCCTATTTCGTCTATTCTAATAGGTGTGTTTGGGTTAATTTATTTTGCTTATTTTATTGTCATTTTTTTTCTTTATTTATATTTTATTTTATTTTTTCCGTTTTCGATTTTTAAGTAACGTAGTGAAAATTTGTTTTCATGTCTGCATTTTGAGATGAGCTCAGATCAATTTATTTTTGTCTGGGAAAGTAATAATAGCTATTTTTTCCTCCAAGCAAAGTTTGCAAGATTTTAATTGGTTGATCTTTTCCTTATTTTCCAAGATATTTTTGATGTGATGTGCGTTTTGTTTTTAATTTCCCAGATATACTTAGAAAGCATTGTGTTGTTCGCATATTTACTATTTGTGAAAGATGTTTTGTGTGTATAATTTCTTCGTTTCCAGGGTCCTTCAGTTACTCCTATGTATACTTTTTCTTCATTATCTGGTGATTTTATTGTGGCTTGGTATATTACGTTGTTTTGTAAACAATTACTGTTTAAGGGACATTCGTTCTTTATTCTGCAGTTGTACATGGGTTTAATTTGTTCGTGTGGTTTGTTGATAATTTCCCTGTTGTGCTTTTTTATTATTTGTGCCATGTTCTCGGTGCAACTGTGGCTGATTTCTACTGTGTTTTTGTTGAATATTTTGTGTAGGGTGCTTGAGTCTGGGAAGTGTTTGTGTAAGAGTTTGAAGAATATTTTTCCTACATTTGTTTTTACATTTTTGCTGTACGGTGGGTTGAACCATATGATATTTCTTTTCCTGTTGGCCTTTTTTGTATTCTGTGGTGAGTATGTGAGTGTTGCTGGGAATCCGCTATCTTTTAGGGTTGTTTCGTAGTCTTTCTTAGCTTTGTTAAATATGGATTCATTGGTGGAATTGTTGGAAAGCCTGCGGTTAATCGATTTTGGTATCTGTTTAATTATAGAAGACAGGTGGTTGGAAGATGTGTGTATATAGAGTGGTTTATCATTGGGTTTTCTATATGTGCCTTTTAGGTTGAAGGTAACATCTAGAAAATCTACTTCATTTAGGTTAGTTTTTATATCTATGTCAAATCTGTTATTTTTAAAAATCTTTATTATTGCTTTTCTAGTTTTGTCTGTGTTTTGTTTGTTACAGTTTCTTAAGATTATGAGACCGCCGTCCCTGTAGAGACCTGTGTCATTTCTATCTATTATTTTGCTCAGTTCGTGTAGTAAGTAAATACCTATGATCTTGCATGTCTCTGCACTGTCAAAGCTTCCCATTGTAGTGTCAAATATCCCATCTTTCTTTATCTATACTTCTTCATTGTGAAATAGTAATGATTTATGGGAGTGCTTAATGATGTCAATTTCGCTTGGTTTTATTATTATTTGTTCCTGAGCTAAGTTGATGGCCTTAACTAATATGCGTTCTGGATGGGTAAAATTCTTTTATGCCTAATTGTAGGAATTGGCAATTTTGTTTGTTATTTATGCTGTGGAACCAGTCAATAGTTGCTTTTTGGACGATTGCTTTAGCTTCCTTATTGATATTGTATTCTATTGTTTGTGGTGCCTTTTTGTATGTTTTGGTTATGTTGTTCTTGAGTAGTTTATTGTGCGTAGGAGGGCTAAGTTTGTATAAATTTCTTTTTTTGTCAGCTGCGATAAATACATTTGCTGAATT